CGATGTCCATTTATATATATATATATATATATATATATATATATATATATATATATATATATATATATATATAAAGATGACAGACTCCTATTAAAAGACAAGGTATTACACCCAATTAAAAACCAAATAGAAAATCATCTTTGATAATGGCTCGAATATAGCCGAAAGCGCTCGGAATTACAGAACATTTGTACAGTTTCTGTACACTCTGAGTCGAACACATGAAAATTGAATAGAAAACTCAATTGTAGTACCTTGTGTGTCGTCTTTAATATAACATATATAAATGTAGGATTGCTGCTTCAATGCACTAAATATAATATATATATATATATATATATATATATATATATATATATATATATATAGATATAAATAGAGAGAGAGAGAGAGAGAGAAAGAGGCAGATATATAGATCGCAATAATAAAAACACAGTTCGATGTAATAAGACTCACCTGTCACATATATATTAATAAATATACATAATATTTTCACCGGTATAAGGACTCGGGTTTTATGCACAATACATTCTTCAGGTGCCGAGTCTCTCTATCTCTCTCTCTCTCTCTCTCTCTCTCTCTATATATATATATATATATATATATATATATATATATATATATATATATATATACGGCATTTAAGCAGCTTCTGCGGTGGACTCTTGATTCGGTCTTTGACTTGTTTGAGAGTCCCTAAATCTTTACATAGTCTCAGAATTCCTCGCTGCCGTGTGATATGGGTTTTCATTTGAACTTGTCTTTCTTTTTCTCGCTACACTTTCGGCGCTGTTGACTGCAATCTGGTCCTCTGGTGGCAAAGATTTCCTTTTGCAAGACATAATACTCCCTTATTCGATAGGCAACAATAAACTCGCTGAATTTTAGTATTGCATTAATAATTTAGGTTATCTATTAAAAGTTCAACGATAAATCCTTCTGCCGCCAATCAATTTAAAGACAATTTGATATGCGTAGGTCCTTACTTACCGTACAGACAATTATTTTCATTTCATGAGTGACATTTTCGCAACTAATTTTGATGATTCCCAAATATTTTCATCGTACAAGAAATTCCTCGCAAAAAATCACTTAAAAATCACCGCAAACAATCGCATTAACGAAAACTTGGGAATCAGGAATAAAGGAAAATTAGAATTGTGTCCCTTTAATTGAAAAACGTGACACACTGACATTCGCATTTATTTTATATATATATATATATATATATATATATATATATATATATATATATATATATATTACAGTGATGACCATCCTGTACAAGGCCCGGGAGCCACTCGAGGTAGATTGTTACAAAAAAGTAATGACCACAAACTATGCGAATATGTGGGGAAGATAACGGTTAACAAGGAGATTAATATTGTAGTGGTCCTGAAAGTAGCCTGTTGGTAGTCAGTTCCACATAGCAGCAATTCTCGGGAAGAAAATGGTCGAGTGAAACATAACTTCTCACTATTGGAATACAAAGAGAATGGGGGTTATTCGCTACCATTTCTGTAGCATGACGGGTCTTAACTGTGAAAGTTATAACTGCTGGAATAGTACTTCGTCTGAGCACTTTCTACGGAAATAACGATAGAATTGTGAGAGGCCTGCGACATTTCACCTGTGATATGTGGGTTGGAAAATAATTTCTGACCTACAAGGACGCGACGACGCTTTTGGTCTCTATCAAGATTGGAAATTGAAGACGTGAAATTCACTGGTTTACCCAAGAAAATGCTAAACCATTTTTAGTTTCTATAATGTATATATATATATACACACCTGTATTAAGACCATGTATTAATAAACGAATTCTATAAGTTGTCCTGGTTAAAAAAAAAACTCAACTTTCTATATGTGCGTCCATTTTTTTTCCCGTACAGTATATGAATGATTCTGCTAATAAAAAGAATAGTTTTAGTTTGAAGAAGTTCCTCCTGGAACAAAATGCGTCACTAAATATTTTTCTCCATCTTTCATATGTTATTGCCTATATATATATATATATATATATACTACTGCAAAAAACAAAAATTACCTCAACATCGGAATAGACTATTTCAAATCATCCCTTAATGGTATTCTTCAGTGGCTGACCAAATCCGTAATGAAACGATTTGAAATAAATGTTCTGTTAAAATATAAACCATCGAGATATCTGTGGATCAGTTTTAATAAATATTATTACTAGGACCCACCTGGATTATATACCAACAGATCGATTGCCTGTACTATATATATATATATATATATATATATATATATATATATATATATATATATATATAATATATATATATATATATGAAGAAAAATTTAAACAAAAAATCCTTAAATGCAATTATATTGTTTAAAATAGAGATGAAATGTCGACGTCTGACGTTTCGGTTTAATAAACCTTCTTCAGGACAATATTCATTAAAATACAATTCAGTTCAATTTGACAAAGACGATGAACATAATTGTCCTGAAGAAGGTTTATTTGAAACGTCAGACGTCGACATTTCTATCATTTTAAACAACATAATTGTACATTAAGGATTTTTGTTTGTTTTTCAAAATTTTCTTCATTCTGTCAGATCTATATCCATTTACATTTGCTTTTTATATATATATATATATATATATATATATATATATGTATATGTGTGTGTGTGTGTGTGTGTGTGTGTGTGTGTTACGAATATATAGGGATAGACAGATAGTGATAAACACATGTAAATACTAGGATAAGCTTTTCTTTTCTGTCACCTCTTTTAGTATCGTATAATTTCTATATATTTTGCTGATTATTTCAATTTTTCATTTTAAAAATCTTCGTCGATAATAATTCCTAGAATCAACAACTGAAGAATATTTCTTCTTTCCCTTCCAGTCAAGCTGAACCACTGAAAATTGGGGAAAAATAAAGAAAGAAAAAAAAAGAAGAAAACAAAGAATGAAAGGAGGAATTGTGCCATTCTGAAAAATAGCTTAGATGTGGCACAAGACCGTAAGTATGAGATGCCCAGTCAGGATCGAACTCACTTATTCAGTTGTAATTATTCTACCGAGACAAGCTTGCTAATCATCACACGAAGACGGAGTGTCAAAGGTGGATTGCTTAGCGTAGCTTAGATGTGGAACACGCCCGAAAGTATGGGGCACTTAATCAGGATCGAACTCATTATTCAATTGTAATTGATTTAGCAAGATAAAGATAGGTAATAAACATAATGCCTTTTACATCCGAAAATATTGAAGCCAAATTATCCATAGAGATTAAGCAACATGGCATTCATGTGATGAATTAAGGCAGCAGATCATTATTCAAACATATATTAAAATATTAAATATAACAGACAACGAATATTTATTATGTTTGATTATATGCCGTTTTAAGCTTCCTATAGAGGCTTTAATTTCGGGAAAAATAATGACAAAAACTGTTTTTTTATGCTGTTGCTCGACCTAATGTTGGAGAGTTTTTGTCTTTATTTTCTCCTGAAACTAAAGCCATTATACGAAGCTTACAACGGCTCCTGATAAAACATAATAGACATTCGTTGTCTGTTATATTTAACAATATATGCTTGAATATATATATATATATATATATATATATATATTTTTTCTTTTTCGTTCATCAACTTTATACATATAAAAACAAAGTACAGTAACATTATGTACCGAAATGTTCCCCCATCAAAGGACTTCGGCACGTTGTCATATGTCTTTTCCTTAATTTTTTTGATATACAATATATATATATATATATCGTTTTTCCATACACCTTTCTCTCCTTAATAATATTTTCTCATAATCACTTACGCTGAGTAACCGCTTGCGTCTTAGTAGCATTATTGCTTTGCTTGGGGTGAAACAATTATAATAAATTAAAGAATATGACACCTTGTCGGAGTGTTCAAATAATATTTTACACTTAGTTTAGACCGATATTGTGGGGTACCCATTGAGACACAAACATACTCTTTAGTCGTAACTAATCTCGCAAAGCAAAGTTGTAAATCATTACACCATATCGGAGTGTCCAATTTATTTTCTAAGCTTAGAAGTGACACAAGGCCAAAAGCATAGCGCACCCAATGAGGAACGAGCACATATTCAGTCGTAGTAGATTTAACGAGTTAATCTAGCTAAACTCTACACTACGTCGAGGTGCCAAAAAGCGTCGATTAGAAGTTGCATAAATCCGAAGATATGTTGCACCCAGTAAGGATCGAATTCACGACTCAGTCTTAATGGCTCTCTCGAGACAAACTTCCTAACCATTAAACTATGTCGACGTGCCCAGTGAAAGAATGAATGAATAAAGAAGAACTGTTGGAAGTAAAAGTAATAATGGTTGTGTTGGCTGCAGTCAGCGTAAAGATGTCTGCTGTGCTTGTTTTCAGCAGAGAATTGTTAAGAAGAAAAAGAGCCATACAATTATAAATAATTAACGTTAAAAATCAATCTTTTACAGATCACAATATTGCCGTCTTCTAAATTGATTCCTATTAATAAAGAAGGATGTCCCCGTAGCAGTCTTGGCAGTAGTACGACTACCTGTGTTGGAGTCAACGAAGAAGATGTTTATATTAGGCATAGAGGCCTTACTGAAAGCAGATGTTAGTTGTCGTTCTGTCCGACTGTCAGTTTATCAGTCGATGTGGATTGCGTGATTTAGTGGTCGAACGAACGGTCGATTTCTCTGTCTGTCAATTGATTGCCATGTCTTCTCATTTATATCGAACGTAAATATCTCTACTTCGCTTAGCTGTTTGTCACCGTCCGTTCATTTTGTAATTTTATTGAAATGAAAGCATCTTACTTGAAGAAAGATCTATCTATCTATCTATCTATCTATCTATCTATCTATCTTAAATAATTAATTAATATTTTCGGTCTTCCATTCTTTGGATGTAGGTAGGCATGTAAATTAGTCACAAGCAGCCCATGTTAATCTATTCAATAAATCAATTCATCAAGCATTGAAGCCAGTTGGCAAGATGCGTATCTATCAATCTATCTATCTACGTTTAGTCATTAACTATCTTAGTTGAGTAATTATCTATCTATCTATCTATCTATCTATCTATCTAGTCATTATCTATCTATCTTAGTCGAGTAATTATCTATCTATCTTAGTCGAGTAATTATCTATCTATCTATCTTTCTATCTATCTATCTATTCTTAGTATATTCATATCTAAGTTTAGTCATTATCTATCTATCTTAGTCGAGTAATTATCTATCTATCTATCTATCTATCTATCTATCTATCTAACTATCTAGTCATTATCTATCTATCTTAGTCGAGTAATTATCTATTTATCTATCTATTCTTAGTCTATTCATATCTAATTTTAGTCATTATCTATCCATCTTACTTGATTAATTATCTATCTATCTATCTATCTATCTATCTATCTATCTATCTCTATGTTTAGTCATTATCTATCTATCTTAGTCGAGTAAATATCTATCTATGATCATCTCTCGCTCTCTGTCTCTATCTGTCTATCTCTCTTCATATCTGTCTGTTTTATCTCTCTCTTCTCTATACACACACACACACACACATATATATATATATATATATATATATATATATATATATATATATATCAGAAGAGGAAAAACAGAATGACAAAAAAATCTAATGATATTTCACAATAAAATATTACAATAAATACAAGTTACAAAAGCACGTTCAAAGTCGATTTAGAAAAATGAAACAGCATCGAAATTTAGAGTCGTGCCTATTTTATTACGTGCAGTTGTTACTCTTCCAGAAAATCAAAATCTGTGGAATGATCAGTTGGAAAATATTATATTTTATACTACAGTTGTATGTGAGGTCCCTAAAAGAATACTTGAGATTTTGAAGAATTCATTCGGTCAGAAATAGCGTTCCACGCTTCTATTTCTAATCTCAGCATTAATAAACTTTCCGTAATGTTAATATCAACAGAATGCTGATCCAAATTTCAGATGGAATAGAAACAATTGTACCGAATTACAGACCTATAACATACTTACATATGACTGAATATTCTCACGTTACGACACAAGAGAAGTCGAATACTTCTCCCTGAGAACAAGAAATAAAAACTTTTAAAGGAACAAAAACACCAAGTGGTCAATCTCTATCTATAAAAGGCAGGGTGTGTGTGTGTGTGTGTGTGTGTGTGTGTGTGTGAAGAATGCACGGCCGCAATTTTCGACGGATTTGCACCAAAATTTACATGCACATGCTCCCAGTTAGCGGGAAGACCAAGACCGACTTTGCATTTCTCAACTCCCATCGATAGTGGAAATAATCAAATTTTCATGCTTCTACGACAGTTTTCATGTAGTTTGCGGCCATTTTCTGAATAGGCAGGAAGATTCTAATGGCCAGCGTGAGAGCCAACAGCATGACTGACACGAATGTTAACTAGCATGCTAGCATGCAAAAAAAAATCGATAGCTGCATTCATCACAAGTGGGAAAAATTTAAATCTGCATGGCACTTTACTCCAACTGGCTCATTCGCTTGCTTAAACTCAACGTTGATTCTGATTCCGCAGAACTGGTTTGGGTGTGAAAAAGTATTTGTTGTTAACATTCTTTTTTCATTCGATTTTTCCAGTTACGAGTCCTTTTTTAAAGCTGATCATTTTGTGTTCATTTTGTCTCGTTCTTTTTTCGCAAGAGAGTTAATGTTTAGTATAGAGCTTAGAAAAATTCGCAGTGTGAGATAGGCAAGAAGTAAGGCATGTAGCAACATCAGCACGGCAAAGGGCACTCCTTTGAAGGCAAGAAAGGGCAAAAATATTTTCAGTCAAGTGATAGACATTGCTGTATGAGTCGTACGATTTTTGAATCAAGCACTGGCAACGCTGGGCCATGCTGATAGTCATTTATATATCAAGATAGAAAATATTGAATACAGATGCGCATACGAGTGTTGGCTCTAAGTTTTATAGGCTGACCAAAATACTCCAATCAAATGTGTCAAATGACGTTTATTTTTCAACATACTTCCCCTGGCAATCCGCACGTTTCTTCCATGAGTGTTGCCGTGATTGGATCTCATTGGTGAAGATTTCATTATGTCTGTCAAAAAGGTTATCAACAGATATGACGTCATCAAAGTGTTTGCTGTTTCTGAATCGAGTGTTGTTTCACGTTGGGGAACAAATGATAGTCCGCCGATGTCAAATCATGAGACTAGGGAGGATGATCAACCAGTTCAAGGACACAGTCACGTACAGTAGCCAGTGTGCTAAATGAAACAAGATCCCTTTTTTCAGCTTTCCTGTGATTTTGGTCTTCATAGGCTTTCGTATCTGCATCTGGAATAAGGCTTAATTCTCTCTATTGATGGTGTGGCCCTTTTGAAGATAGGTAATAAATATAACGCCTTTTACATCCGAAAATATTGAAGCCAAACCATCCATAAAGGTGACGCAACATGGCATTTATTGGCGCTCCATGTGATTAATGGAGACACAGATCATTATTCAAACATATATTGTTAAATATAACAGACAACGAATTATGTTTGATCATGAGCCGTTTTAAGCTTTTTATAGATGTTTTAATTTCGGGATAAAATAATGACAAAAAAATGTCCAACATTTGTATATTTTTATTATGCTGTTGCTCGACCTAATGTTGGACAATTTTGTCTTTATTTTCTCCTGAAACTAAAGCTATTATACGATGCTTACAACGGCTCCTGATAAAACATAATACACATTCGTTGTCTGTTATATTTAACAATATATGCTTGAATATATATATATTTTTCCTTTTTCGTTCATCAACTTTATACATAAAAGAATAAAGTACAGTAACATTATACACCGAAACGTTCCCCCATCAAAGGACTTCGTCGCGTTGTCATATGTCTTTTCCCTAAATATTTTCTTGATATACAAAAAAAATTATATATCGTTTTCCCATACACCTTTCTCTCCTTAATAATATTTCTCTCATAATCACTAAAACTGAGTAACCACTTGCGTCTTTGTAGCATTATTGCTTTGCTTCGGGTGAAACAATTAAAATAAATTAAAGAATATGACGCACTTATTGAAAGACGTCAAATATCGAATCTGTATTAACGGCCTGAAAATTTGGTTAAATTTTTTAAACAAAATAAATTAAAGAACATGACACATATATTCAAATACTTCAAATATCGAATCTTGACGGCCTCAAAATTTGGTTAAATGTTTAGAAAATATTGCTGAAGGTCATGTCTATTGGCATACTTAGAATAGTCTTCGACTTTCAAAGAAATTGAATGGGAAATTAAGAAACCCCGATCATCGACTGCGAGTTGTTCAAATCGCAGATAAGTTGCTATACAAACAAATTGTATGTATGAAATAAAGCTAAATCTGTCTTCAGCAACAAAAAGAATTTCGTCCGGTCTGGACGCCAGTTTAGTTCGAGTGTTTTCTGATTGTTTTTCTCTTTTGGGGGCGTGGGCAGATTACTAAGTAATATTTAAAGGGAATGAAGTCATGCGAAGAGAACAGAAAAGGCTTGTTATTAGTTGTGTTCTTGGAGCACTTCAGGGGAGACATATATATATATTTGAAACGATTGGAAATCCTCAAAACTCACCAAAACAAATGGAAATTATTCAAATGGCAGAATTGATACAATCAGCTAAAATACTGAATCGAGAGCAAGGAGAGATTTGGACCTTCCTCTCCTTTCATCACCAATGGAATACGACATTTACGAATGTTAGAATTAATCATTAAGTATAAATCTAAATACTGAGGAAAATGCTCAATTAAAAAGGAAGCTTGGTGTCACTTGATCTCTTTTTTAAAAAAACAGCAGTTATACCTGACTTGAAAACTCTACTACTACTACTACTACTACTAATAATAATAATAATAATAAATAGAATTCCTATAGTTGCCCTTTGCGCTTCCAATCGGCTTCAAACTCTCTGCCCATGTACTTTTGTAAGAAATTGTTTGCTGTCGATAATTGAGGCTCTTCTTGAAAATTACCTGTTATCTTACTTTACACGAATCATTTAGCATTTGGCTGCCAAACGGTTACTCGTTGTACGACCTTCGCAGTTTTCGTGAGAAGCGAGGGCACGTCAGTTATACTTTTCTTTGAACCAGCTTGAACATTCAATAGAAAAAGAAAAGCTCACCTTGAAGCCGTTTTAACGCTTACAATCTTTTTTTTTTTCGTTTAGTGAATTTGATGATTGCTATCATACAATCATGTTTAGTTTGAACTTGAGGCCCATCAGGCGCTAAAAAGGCACAAAGGAGAAATCAGTCAGTACTTGATCTTTCATTTCTTATTTTAAAGAGACAAAATGAAACAGTAGAAGAGATAATCCGTAGGAATCAAGGACTATTCAGTCGATCTAGGTGAAACTTCCCAATCATATCACTGAACTTACCCTTTTAGATATTTTTGCATCGGAGTTAGAGAAAACTGAACATAGATTGATTTCTTCTTTCATTTTTTATGGTTTATCAAACCTTTACAGGTTATTTAAAGCCAGAAAATATTTTTACATTGCTTGAAAATTTTGTGGCGAGAAAATAATGATTACGTCATATAAATGTTATTAATTAACCCTGTGGGCTGATTGGTTAAAGCATTCGCATTCTGACCATGAGACCCGGGTTCGAATCTCACCATGGTCAATTTGTCAGTAAGGGGACTTTCTAATGTTATTGGACTAGAGGGGTCGATCCCAGCGTTCGGCACTTTTGGAAAGTGCCTGAAAACCATACCACGAACTGACTCATGCCTTGTGAGTGAAATTAGGTAAACGGGCCGTCAGTAGCTGTGCCATCACAAATCACAAGTCATCGTGGGAGAGAGCATGAGCGTGCTGGCCTTGTTCAAATTGATCATGCTAGATAACACACCCTTTCCCAAAAACTGTAACTAAGGTCTGCTCAGCATAGTTGCAGTATAAACCACAGGTGGGCTCTGTGGATATTGAATAAACACAAATGGCCAAGCGTCATCCATAGGGGTTGGCTAGCCGTCCTAGTAGACGGGTATTCTCGAATACGAGTGGCCAGATATACATACATTGATTAACCCACAGGGATTCATACCTTTGGCAAGGTGTTTGCGCGTAAGTTACCTATTGCCTCAATTCTAAACAGACTGAAGTTAAGTAAAAACAAAATAGAAGCATTTTTTGATCATTTCTCTCCAAGCTACTCGATAATGCCACTAAGACGCTAGACGATTCTCATCACGCCCAGACACTATTGTCGCGACTGTCGATTAGTTGTCCTATGGCGATTGTCGTCGATGAACATTACTCCAATGAAGCGTACGAAAATTGTAACGCTGCACTAACACACTGGCAAGTCTTACCAGTGAGTAAATCAAAGTACTAGACACTGACCCCGAAAAAAATGAAATAATAACGGAATTATTCGTTTTA